AGCAGCTTAAGATCGCAACGCTTAAAACTCCCTTGCCTATTATGACTCGGCAAATTCCGCTCGTTCGCGGATTGCGCCCCTCGTATCGGTTAGGCGGGAGGAGGGTAATCGTTGGGTATTATTATTAAGACTCTTCCACTTAACCACCAGATAAGGTATTACTTCATGGGAGSGAWAAGACATTTTTCKYCTCCTCTATAGCACGGACGGGCTGACGCCTATTCTTCTGTAGCTGGCTTAGTATTGTCGTGATGGAAATTGGCGCTTCGCAAACGGCTTTCCACTTCTCAGAGGACTGACACATAAGTGCAATCAAACTTTCCACCGTTAAACTACTACCTAGTTCTGTTTCTAACTTTTCCTTTATGTTTAGAAACTGAGGACAAATCGAAAAACACCTATTCAGAGTCTGCTATTGATTCCGCACACATCGAACAATATTGACTGACGWCATTTTGAAATTTGTATAGATAGCCGATGAAGCACCCATGCCCGCTTAATATTTGGGTTAGGTGGAAATCCACTTCGCCATGTTGTCTAGTTATCTACGTATGGATRTCAGGTATTGTAAGTCTGTGGATCCACCGTCCTTTAGTTGAGGTCTGGCATCGTTGCTGAAATATACATAGCTATGCTCTCCTTTCTCTCTTTTAGATTTCTGTAATTGGCGCTGATAGCTCATAATCTCGTGAACTCGTCACCCTTGATGTCTATGGGCGGCATATCAGCTAGTATTTCAGCTGCTTCGCTGGAAACAGTTCGGAAAGCACTTGTTACTCTTATTGCTGTAAGTCTATGCACCCCATTTATTGGTTTGCAATACGTTTTTATGTTTAGTGCCTGTAGCCATACTGGAGCTGCTTATAGTATAACTTCTGTCAGAGCCGTTTTGTCTTTCTGATAGTCTGCTGGCTTACTGGATTGCAAACTAAAAGCGGTTTCTTATTATGCTTTCATAYACTTTGCCCATTGTGTCGAGCATACACAGCGGTCGATACGAAGARGGTTCATCTGGTGGTTTTTTTGGTTYTGGGATTAAAACCAGGCGCTGGACCTTCCAGGTATCGAGGAACATCCCTTATTTTAAGCATGCGTTGTACATTTTTGCAAAAARAGTGGRCTTTGAATCTATGGCCACATTTAAAGCTCTGTTTGRTATTCCATCGATATCAAGCGCTTAAGCGACAAGAACAGTTGGTTTTGATTTTTTTAGCTATGGYCAATAGTTCTTCTTCTGTAACCTATGGGGGTGATTCAGCAGCATCGTTTCGTCACTCAGCGCTAGTAATCGGGRCGTGCGATTTTCTTCATGAACGGTGTGCTTTTGGGTTGCTGCCGATTATTTTGGAATTTGCACATACAGACTTAACTGCTGCACTCTAGCCTGTCTCAAAAACATCAGAGTATCAAAATCTGTTTGCTCCAGCTTATTTTTTGTGTAGTTCCTATTTTCAGAGGCCATATCTCTGGCAGAAAATAGTTGGGAACACCTGTCAACGGGTAAGTTCAGTCCTTTGTCCTCAAACCGTAGTTGCTTTTAATGGCTGGCAATGCCGGAACCAAAGGCAAAGCGAAGAAGGAGAAACGAAAAAAGGATAAACTGCTGACAGAACAAAAYAAAACGGCYGATTAAAATTAAGTGCACGTTTTGATTCGTTGTTATACTTGTATGGGGAAAACTCTAATTTAAGTTTTATTTTGTCTAATTTACCATGAAAAGGGGCCAGAAATTAAAAATAAAATATTTAATACAAATCAAAATTTACTTCGGTATTTCAATTGGATRGTCCAGTCTCCCGGTAAGTCTTTAACCAAACTATGACACTTTCACTAATTATAAATAAGAGATTTCGCAAAAATGTTTAGGGACTACAAAGAAACCSGTCTGCTTCCCTAAAACTAAAATAAATTGACCTATGTATGTACATATTTATRTAAATTATTTACTCATTGGAAGCTTTGTTTTTCTTTCAAATATATTAAACTGTGTGCCGGTAAGAGTATTTTTGTCAGGAGTTCTTCTTTATTAATATGAAGAACACCTCACCTGTAAGCCATCATATTTTAATAGCAGTTTATGACGGACATACTGTATCCAAGTGAGTCATTTCGAAAGTTTAAAAACAATGAAATTGGGTGATATATGAATTGGAGTCAAGAGCTGTTCAAAAACGTATTTGTATGTCAGCRAAAAATCTTCTGTGACATCTGACCAATCAACGACAAAACCGAATATCTCTTAGGTCAAGGTAATTCTCTGTATTTGATGGGATCAAATAGACTTGAGCTTCTAAAGCAGGGAACGCTTGAATCATTTTTGGTTGCCAAGCCGACGCAGTTCTTTTGGGATCAGATCCAATTTGCCWTATTKTCTTTTATTTGTGTTAAAATWTTCGTAAAAACTGCTTTCTGTAGCGCTGTTTCGGGTTAAGAATAATACCTTGGTAGATCGTCCATCTTTTTATACCCTGAACAGGGTATATTAAGTTTGTCACGAAGTTTGTAGCACGCAGAAGGAAGGATCGGAGGCCCTATAAAGTATATATATAAGTGATCAGTATGTCGTTCTGGGTCGATTTAGCCATGTCCGTCTGTCTGTCTGTCTGTCAAACGTCATTTTCTCTTCAAGAAGCTGCTCATTTGTTGAAACTGCCGATATCGGACCATTATAACATATAGCTGCCATACAAACTGAACTGTCGGAATCAATTTCTTGTGTGGAAAAATTTCAAATAAAGCAACAATGTAATCTCTGAAGAAATTATTCAGATCGGTTGGCTATAGCTATAGCTGCCATACAAACTGAACTATCGGAATCAAGTTCTYGTATGGAAAACTTTCACATTTAACGTGGTATCTTCACGAAATTTGGCATGGATTACTGCTTAAGGTAACATTATAATCTCCAAAAAGCACAAAGTTACTAACARAAATGCACCTGTGAAGGGTATTTAGCTTCGCTGCATCATCTRAAACACAAAACCCAATTTATTCTTAAAAAGTACGTGAATGGTTATCAACCCTACTAGAATCATGAAAATTTTGGTAAATAAAAAAGTAAGTAACGATTTTTTATTTTTTTTTTTTGTTAATTTTTCTCCACGTTCTTTTACATAAATTTTGTCATAATATTGTCAACAAATTATAAAAAATTATGAATCTGGTAGGGACGATAACCAGGCGTTTTGTGAAGAATAGAAAAAATGAAGCAAATCGGTGTTTTGAGAAAAACGCATTTAAAGTTTGAGGTGTACACGCCGAGCGCTCCGAAGGTCAAGTGGTATTATTATTTTTGGGCCTTTTTCGAAACCTTCCAATAGTAAAGTGGGTTGCTACATTAATATTAAGAGTATTAGGACACAGAAAATG